TCTTCTCTCTCTCTCTCTCTCTCTCTCTCTCTCTCGCCACGCGCGATTGAGCCGGCGATGTCTTTTTTTTTCCCCTTATCATTGATAGCAGCAACGGCAGTTGCTTGTGCAGCAACCTGTCGTCGTCGGCAGCGACGACGGCGTCCTCTCGACGCCGGGTCGGATGGTCGGTACGGCGCCAGCGTCGTCTCTCCCACTTCTCGACGACTCGTCCTCCCGGCCGGCCTTCTCTCGAAACCACGTCCTTCCTTGGGTGTGGTTCGAGACGTCGTCTGTTCCGTCAACGCGAGTCGCGGTCGTCTAGCGCCGCTAACCGGGTTTTTTCTTCTCCCGACGAAGGTTTTCTTGTCGCCGGACTCGTGTTCTTCCGCGTCCGCGAATCGCGCGCTCCCCGCGCAGGGGAGGAAACGAGGACGATCGCGCGGCGCGAGAGCGGGCGAGTCGAACGAGTGCAAAGGGTTTACGGATAGGAGGAGTGAGAGAAAGATTAACGGAGCGGCGAGTGGGACGAGAGCCGCAGAGCGACTACGTTCATCGATTCGTCGTCGTGTCGCGTCGCGCTTCCACGGTTGCGTGCGAAACGCGACGGAAAAAGCGAGAGCCGTCACGCTGACGTACGTACGTACGTACGTACGTGCATGCGTGCGTGCGTGCGTGCGTGCGTGCGTACGTGCGTGCGTGCGTGCGTACATCTGTCCGTCCGTCGTGTTCCTCCGCAGTGCCTCGCGAAATTCGAACAGTTCCGAGTGAACAATCCCGAGAAAAGAGTCGGAAGTTAGGCCGAGCGTCTAGCTACTCCAAAGTTCTCCGGTGCCGGAGAGGAATTTGCTACGCGCGATTCGCGTGTCAACGAGCGCAACCTGGCGATAACGAGCGACAGGGATTCTCACGGATTTTCACTTCGACCTAGTAGTGGTGGTGGTGGTGGTAGTGGTAGTGGTGGTGGCGGTGGCGGCGACGACGGCAGTGGTAGTAATAGTGGCAGCCCTTCCACGAGAGGTTATGTCGCCGCGGCCTCGATGACGCTCCTCTGACAGCAGTGGCGGTGACGGTGGGACGGAGCGAGTGGGTTTCATCGATGCGTGTAAACCTTCCTTTCCAGCTCGATGCCCTCGTCGAGACGAGGACGTCGTTGTCTCTTTTTCTCTTCCCCCCCCTCTTTTCTCTTTTTTTTTTTTTATTTTTCCTACCTTCGCCGATCGAAGCCGCCGCGGGATTCTCGCCGCTCGCTATTAGTTAGAGACAATGGCGCGCGTCGTCAGGGAAAAGCGGAAGAACGATACTCCGTGACGTCGTTTCACCCTGTTATCAATAGCGTCCTTTCTCGTTATCGATAACGCGTACAAGCCCCGTGGTTTCCGCCGACCTTCGTATTTTGGCTTCGGGCCTCCGTCGATTATTCATCGACAATCTTCTTACGCAGGCCGTGCGATACCCCGGCGAACGATGGAACTGCTCTTTGTTTAACTCTCTTTTGTCTAAACGCGCCTCTGTTTCTTCCTTTCCGAATGGAGATGTCTTCGACTGAAAGGGAATAAAAAAACGTAAAAAACGTAAATTAAACTCCGCGAATGATGCTTTGTCGCGAGGCTGCATCAGAATGCCGGCATCACTAATTCAATGTCGATTTTGAATTTTCAATTGACCTTTCCTTTCTTTTGGTTACTTCTTTTGATATTGATTTATTAAAAATCAGTACATCACCCCTGCGCTTTTATTTTCCCTCTTATTGATAACCGCTAATCTCATAAAGACCTCTATATTTTCGTACCGATTTATTTTGCTGAATTTAATAAAATTTTTATCAGATAATTCGATTACGCACAATTATCTAATTTGTTTCTTCCGTTTACAGGAACGTATTTTTCCTTTCTAAGCTGCTTTCTGAAACTTCTCGCTTTTCACACGACATATTTTCTCAGAGATGATCTACAGAGGCGGTGTAGTAATACGTAAAATTTTTGTTGCGGGAATTTTGTTGCATTGAAATTGGCGCGATTCGATCAAATTAATTCGCATTATGCATTTTAGTTTTTAATGAAGTATTTCTTTTCCGATCTCTCATTTGCGCGTGCGCCAAACTTGGCTCTCGCCGTCGGCTCCATTCGGAAATGAGAACACCTCGCGATGGATCGACAACCCTCGGTTTCCCCGGGTCGCGAGAATCTCGCGGAGGTGAAGGACGCAGGATCTCCGTGCCGGTAATTGTCCAAATGTGATCGGTCTGCTAGTTTGCGAATGACATGAGGGAGAGAATCCCCATGATAGGGAGAGAATAAGTATTACACAGTATTTGAGAAATATTTGCCTTCTCAATGACGAAAAAGTTCCACGATATCGAAAAGTTTCGCGATATCGATAAGAATCGTGCATGTAAAAAAAAAAAAAAAAAAAATTGAAAAGCAAAAGTACTAGATTTGACTTTTTGCAAAAAATTAAGTAATTATAATTTTTGTCTTTTTTGTAGATATTTTCTAATGGAATCGATTTTAATCGGGAGAAGCATAATCAATTCTACATATCATTTTTAATATAAATTAATATACGGTTTGGTTTGAATGAACACACTCTTTAATGAAAAATATCAAAATGTGAAAGGAAGGACGTTCGATGGATTTCTAAATATAGAGATTCCTTTAAATAATGAAAAATATCGATACGAATAGAATTATATTCTACGGCAAATATTATTGCCTATATACATTACTTTTCTTCACAATGATGGAAAAGGGACGACGTTTACTTTTTTCAACAAAAATGAGTGGCAAAAATCATGTAACTTATCTCGAATGAAAATGGCAAACATACACGTGTCAGCACTCTTCAAGTCAATTATCGGTTTTCCGAGTTTATCGATATTTTAGTTGCAATAACTACTCGCACTGGCGTCGACCGGATCGCTCGTCGTCGTGACGGCGATACATGTCGCGTGAATGACGTTTTTCTCGAGGAAAAGTACTCGCTGACGAGAACACGAACGTCTCCGAGTCGACTCCGAGAACTCGGTGGAGAGAGAGTGGTCGTGATAAAAATATCGAATATGCGTCGTATGGTCGAAATATTTTTAGCGAGCCGATAATTATATTTTCTTTTTCTTTATGCGTTCGACGTGCATGTACGCGTACGTGATAAGAGAGCGACCCCGCTATTATTTTCCCCGATTATTTTAATTAACGACGTCTAACGCGTCAGATCCAAATCAAGCAAAACATGTGAGCGAGCGAATTTGCTTCGACGAGTGTGAACAATGTCGAGCTACATTCGCTTTTCCTATCCCTTTCAAAGGAGAAGAGCTCGTTTATATTTATCATAAATATTTATTAATTTAAAATACTTATAAATATATCATAATTTTATTGATTTATTTTGGACCCACCTTTACTTAATTTATCATTATTACCCACCTTTATTTTATTTATCATTACTTGATTATTTCACCGATGAGTTTTTCTCATAACTCATAAAATACCGCACTTTATCAATCGAGATAATTCTTCCTTCCCTACGTTTAAATTTTGTACGGGTATTGTATCGCAATTGAATTACTGCATAAGAATTTCTAATTTAGTTTGTTTACATTTCTCTTGCGGTAAGACGGAATGTCTTTTTTTAAATACGCACGAGCGATCCGAATCATTACGCGTGTCTGGAAATAACTATTTATTTTCATTGGTATGTTACACATGAAAGCGGCACGCGTGCCAATTAGCGAGCTGGACGGGCCAAACGATGATACGGCAAGCATATTTAAATTAGAAATTCTAATTCGTCGTTAACAAAGCATAAATATTTAAAAGCTTCGATGACGTTCTTACGTTTAATGCCTCGAGTTCCCCGCAAGCATATATACAGATTTCCGCGACACGTGCATAAGTTACTTCATGCCGCATATAAACTCGATACGCTTATCTATCACGCGATTATCTACGGTTACTGAGAAATCGCAATAATTGTCGGAAAACGTTTGCGGAAGCAGCTTAAGCGGTTCTGTTCATCTTACTCGAACCGTACTCAAAATCGTCCGCATGAAACAACGTTCTGTTTATCATTCTGCGGTATCATACGCGGCAGATAGAAATTTGCTATTTAATTTAATAGCTTTTTTCTTCGTAGTAAAAAAAAGTAAACCTAGTTGAAAAGTAACTTTTTCTAGCATTATGATAAAACAATGGTACTCGTAATAACTATTCTATATACGACTTGACGCCCTTAAAAGATTTAAAAGTATATACGAATATTAAAAACAAAAATAAATATTTCTTAGGTTTTGTTCGTCAATCAATTTGTAATTTGACCGATCGACTTAATATTTTGTGTTCCAGGGGTGGCAACGGTCTCGTTGGGAAGTGTCGAAACTGGCTCGAGGGGCGGAGAAGTCAGCTGTGGTCTGGCTCTGGTTCCGGTGGTAGCGGCGGAAGCGGAAGCCGCTACAGTAGAAAAGGCAGGGGACGAGGAGGTGGGGCTGGGTGAAGCTGGTGGTAGCCTCGACTTCGTTGGGAGGAGGCACAAATTTTATTCTTATCCCCATTTTCATTTGTCTCCTTTTCTTTTACTATTTACCCCACCTCACGGGGGTGATACGTTCGGGGGCGTTCGCCGCCAGCTACCGGAAGCGCTATCGACGACGTGACACCAGCCCCGCGATCAGCTTTCCTCCCACAGAAGGTAGACGTCGAAGACAGGAACCACCGCCGTTCGTTATCATCGTAGAAATTGCGTTCTGAATCCCTCCCGACGAGAGGAGGGAGCCCCGTCAGCCCCTCTCATACTTACGACGTCCTAGTATCTCGGCCCCGTTAACGGGTGCTTATAAGCCACGCGCGTCATCTGCCAGACATCATGAACGAGCTCGATAGCCTTCGTCAAGAAGCGGAGACGCTGAAAAATGCCATTCGGGTAAGTATCCGCTTTCTAGTATCGAGGTCATTGTTTCTTCCTTTTCTTTAATTTGCCAAAAGTATATATTTTTAATATATATATATATATATATATATATATATATATAATATATATATATATATATATATAT